CATGTGACTCCAGTATCCGCATGTTGTGTAGTCTGTCCCTGCACCTATCGATGAAGTCCTGGGCATCCTCATGTCGCTCACCCCCGAAGGTAGGAGGGTGAAGCCTAGTCCATCTATCTAATAACTTCTGCGGATTACCGTCCGCAGCTGGCCTGAGCTGGGGCGCCACTGCAGCAACTGGCTGGGCCCCATCTGCGGGTAGTGCACCTGGAGTCTGATACACTGCAACTGCATGTCCAAGAGCCTGAGCAGTAAGGGTCTGGGCTCCCCGTCCTGCCTGTGAGGTAGCTGGGTCTACTGGAAATAAACCGGCCTGAGTCATAGAATCCATGAACCGAAGCATACATCCCATAACCTCCTGAAATCCCGATGCTGTGATGAAGTCTGCCGGGGTGGCTCAACTGCGGGCACCTCACCTTGCTCCTCAATAATAGGATCTCCCGCGGGATCTACTGGCGGTATGACTGGAATAACTCTGGGACGCCCTCGTCCCCTACCACGGGCCGGTGCCCTCCCCCGGCCTCTGCCTCGGCCTCGAGTAACAGGGGAAGCAGCTCCGCCAGGGTCTGGAACATCAGTCGTGCGTGTCCTCACCATCTGTGAGAGAATAGAGAAGGAAACTCAGTATACTGACCACTGCACGAGATGAGATGAATAAAGGATAGTTTTACTAAAACCCTATAGCCTCTCAAAGATAAATACAGACGTCTCCGTACCGATCCCTCTATTAGGTTTTCCCATGACTTGTGAGACCTACGTGAACCTAGTGCTCTGATACCATGTTGTCACGACCCAATTCCATAACAGGTCATGATGGCGCCCAACGCCTTTGTTTGGCAAGTCGACACGGAAAAATATTAGCTAAACTTTCGGTCACCTTTACCCCAAAGTAGTTGAAAATAATTCTTTAAATTGGAATAACTCAGAAACGATGAATAAAAATCATGATAATCATACAACCCCAAAATAATACAGTCTACAAATGTGTGTGTGCCAAGACCTGGTGTCACAAGCATGGGCAACTAGCAGAATATACAAAAGAATCACACTATCCTACTGTCCGAAACGGGATAGACAGCAAAAATACAAAAGAAAGACTTCTTCAGGCTGTTGAACGGCATGGAGGAGAAGCAACTCACCGTAGAAGTCTCAACTCCGCTCACAGATGCGCACCCGACTGATAGCCAGATATACCTGCCTCAGACCCTGTACAATTAAGTACAGAAGTGTAGTATGAGTACATAAATAATATGTACCCAGTAAGTATCCCGTCTAATGTCGAAGAAGCAGAGACGAGAGGTCGACTAGATACTCACTAGGGTCAAATAATGTGAGGAAAATTTATAACAAGCATGGATAGTACAAGTTATTAGCATTTAATAATCATGCAATAACAGTTCCTTTCCCAAGTATTTTCATGGATGTTCACCTATGTCTCAAGCAGATATTAAATTCAGTTCTTAGAGAAAAATACTAAGCAAAACATGCGCAAGTAACACCGTGGGACGTACGGTCGATCCAACATAAAAGTAAATTGTGCACTGCCGAGGGTCGAACGGCTCGAACCATAGATGCATCTATTACCCCTCTCGCGAATCACCCGTGCGACGCGGTCAAATATAAATAAGCGTATCAGCAAGCAACGATAATATATGTCTGAGGAGTAGCTATACGCTGAAATACCAAATATTCTCCCCTAAAAGACCAAACATGATAATGGTTCATTCACTAGCCTCATTCTTCTTAATCAAACAGTTATATGAATCCGAATTTATCGTTACGTTACGAGAATATCACGTAGGTCATGCTTATGGGTCCTAGACTGCCCGGACTTAACATAATAATAGCTACGCACGGACTCTCATCACCTAGTGCTATGTAGCCCCCACAAATATTAGCAATTAATTCAATTATTATACCTATAGGGACAATTCCCTCTTACAAGGTTAGAAAGGAGACTCACCTCGCTCCAAAGTGCACCTCCAATGCCAAGAACAAGTCCAAGCCCTCAATTCGGAGCCAAACGATCCCAAACTAGTTAAACGAAGTAAGAACTAGTTAATATAGACTCATAAGATCGAATTCTAGCTATTTAAGAAATTTCCCAACCAATAACACAAGTTTCCTAAAATCCGACCCCGGGCCCACGTGCCCGAATTTCGAAATTTTTCGAAGGAAGTTGTTCTCTACAACCTAAGGATCACTAATATATGATTTCTAATTAATTCAATAACAAATTTCGTAGTTTAATCTAAGTTTTATTAAAACACTAGGTTTAGCTCTAACCCTTGGATTTTTCCTAAGTTCTAGTGTTTAATCTACCTAAAATACAAGTATTAAACTAAGGATGGGTGGAATAAACTTACCTCACAATTCTATGTGAAGACCTTCTCTCTAAAGCTCCCAAATCTTCCAAAGGAGGAGTGAAAATGTCATAAAAATGACTTAGAGCCCGTCTTTAATGAACCTCACTGGTTAAGTGATTTCCGCATCAGCGGTCAGGGGACCGCATCTGCGGTCCTGCATCTGCGAGAATGCGACCGCATCTGCGAAAAGGGGAGGGAAGGCTGGGACCGCATTTGCGGTCTCTAGGCCGCATTTGCGGTCTCTGGGCCGCATCTGCGGCTTGGGAGCCGCATCTGCGAAAATAGCATGGTCGCCCTGGGCCCCTTCTGCGAAGGGAGGGCCGCATCTGCGGTCCAAGAACCGCAGATGCGGTTATGACAGAAGCAGCAGATCTTCAGCCCTCTCTTAAAATTTCCAATTCGCTCAAGCCTCGTCCGATTGACGCTCGGGGCTCCCGAGCCCCGCCCGAACATACCAACAAGTCTGAAATCACGCGGTGGACCTACCCGAACCTTCGGAACACCCGGAACAACGCTAAATCTAGAATTTACCCCCTAAAACCAAACGAATCAAACTTATGAACTTCAAGTTCTTAATTTTCCTCCAACGGGCCAAAACGCCCAAAAACTACACCAAATTTTACAGGCAAGTCTTAGATGATATTTCGGACCTGTGCCGGGCCTCGGAACCAAAATACAGGCCCGATACCTAGGAAATTAATAGTTAATTAGTTTCTTTAAATCCTTAAAACTTTAGATTAACAATTTCTAATAAAAATTCATTACTCGGGCTAGGGACCTCGGAATTCGATTCCGGGCATACGCCCAGATCCCATATTTTCCTACGGACCCTCAAATCATGAGGGTCCTTTTGCTCAAAATGTTGACCAAAGTCAAACTTAGCCTTTTAAGAAATCCTAAGGAATCAAATGTGCATATTTCGCCCGAAACTCTTCCAAATCCCGAACCAACCGTCCCCGCAAGTCGTAAATTAGCTAATGCAAGCACTGAAAGTTTTATTTAGGGAACGGGGTTCAAAAAGGCAAAACGACTAGGCGGGTCGTTACACCCATATGGATAAAAATAACATTACAATCACTGGATAACTAATCCAGTTATACCATGATTTTATCCCAACTAAATGTGGAATAAACTATCTCAAATTTAATCATGCAATTAATATCCCTTAACCCTCATACTAATAAGTACCGGTATATAAATTCACATACTCAAACGGAGGATAAATATGAATAATTTTTTAAACTAGAGCGGTAAATATGACCATTTTCTTTATAATAAAATTGTCTGCTATAAATAAGCACTATTATTCTACCACTGGGATATAAACACGAACCCCAGAACACTCTACTCGACTGCGGACTACCAAACCTAGAACCGAAGCCTCCACGCCAAACCGCAAACCCTAAAACCCCGACTGCAAACATCAAACCCCGACCTCAACCCCGACCCCTAAAGCTCGATCAGGACCCTGGCCCCAAATCCCTATGACACAAACCCCGAACCTGACCTCGAACCACCAACCCTTGAATACTAACCCCAACCATCACCTTTGATCCTCGATGCACAACCACCCGAACCAATTATTTTGCAGGAAATATTATTTAAAAATAAAATACATTTTCCTTCGTACAAATACACCTATATATCTAATTTTATTTATACTTATTTTTTGTGTAAAAATTGTAAATCCCTGGTTAAATCTATCACTATCCTAGTTATCTACAAAACCAGAGCCTACGTAACTATGCAAAAAATAGTCATTCCTAGAAGTCTAATCTTACACTAGAAAAAATTCTTAACTAAGGAAAAATTGGTAAATTATGGTAAGGTAAAAGTACAAGAGAGAAATAGGAAGAAAAATTTATGAGGGGGGAGTGGAACCTAGAGGCGCTTTTGAGGACGTATCGACTACTTTAGCGTGAAAGGAAAGGCCGTGAAAACTGATCTCTTAAGATCCACGTCAATGATGTTCTCCACGTTCGCTATCTTCTCAGCCATAAAATTCTTTTCCTTGTATATCAAATCCATTCTTCTTCTTTTTCTTTGTTGAATTGGAGGAAAGTGAATTAGGTCCATTCCTTCTTCTTCTTTGTCCAATTGGTGCTAAGAGTAGTAAACACTACTCCAAGAATACAATAACAGGGATAATTGATTGTATTGTGTTGATGCTAGCCTCCGGTTTCTCCATGTTCGGCGCCTTCTCCGCCACAAAAATCTCCCCTCTGTGATACACAAAATTCAGCAAGAGTCCATGAAGAGTAGGCCATTTAAAGAATAGCCTATTTGAAAGTTAGTTATGTTAGTTAGAGTTCAAATTCAAATATTAGTTAGTGGCGGGAAAGGTAGTTAGTAGGCTTAGATGCTCTAGCTCATTTCTCTTGCATTGCTTTTACATTTTCAGCAGCTTATTGAGTACTATAAATAGCTAGTTGTAATAATTCATTAGTTACTTTTGAATATCAATGAAAATTCAAAATTTCCTCCTACTTTTCTAATTCTCTATTCTTCTTCTTCTTCTTCTTCTTCTTCTTCTTTTCTATTTCTTCTTCCAATTTCTGTCCTTCTTAGCTGATTTCTCTATAATTATCGACGTGATACCAATAATTTGGTATCAATTGGTATCAGAGCTAAGCCATGGGACCTCGTAAAGTTGTTGATCCTGCAAATCTGGACTGGCAGGAACAATATGAAGACCTAGCTGCACATCAGCTAGATCTGCGTTCAATTCTCGATCAGAAAATAGATGAATTGCGAGCTGATTTGGATCATCGACATGCGGAATTGCTGCAGGTGGTTGAAGCACTCAAAAACTCGATTGATGGAATACAGCTGCACCAGCAGTCACGAGACAATAGCTCCACTTCTAAGAATCGCGATAATGTGCAGACAGGTTAGGGAATTTTAGGACCTAATCCATATCATGTTCCTAACAATCGCAGTCATAATTTGTTATTCCCTAGATTCAATGGTGAAAATTTAAAAAACTGGTTGTATAGAATTGAGCAATATTTTGCAGTTAACAATACTGCTGCAAATCAAAAGGTACATGTAGTATCTATGCATTTGGATGATGATGCCCTAGCCTGGCATCAATCCTATTTGAAATGCAGAGATTTGCCTATCCTACCTCCATGGGATGAGTATATTGGGGCCTTGATTGAAACATTTAGTGAGGAATATACTGATCCTATGCTAGAACTGAAGCAACTCAAGCAGACTGGTTTAGTGAAGGAGTTTCAATTTGCTTTTGCTAGGTTATTAGCTCAGTGTGATCTAACTGTTAGCCAGGCTATATCCTATTTTCTAGGAGGATTGAAGGAGGAACAAGTGAACCCTGTTAAAATGCATGAGCCTCAGACATTATCCAAAACTTATCGTTTAGCTAGATTAGCTGAAGCAACCTTAGCAGCTAATGCTAGAGCCTTGAGGAGTCATACTACCTCTGTGTCATCTACTCACCTCAAAAAGCCTCCCTATGAGCCACTGACCCTCAAACACAACCCTAGTCCTAATTCCTCAACTCGTCGACTGGCTTTACCTCCTCCAACCACTGTGAATGTGGCCAGAAACAGGAGGACTATTTCTCCTGCAGAAATGCAGGCTAGGAGGGCACAGGGTCTTTGCTACTTTTGTGATGATAAGTACACTGTTGGTCACAAGTGTAACCTGCCTAAGCAATTGTTTGTGATGGATTTAGAAATTGTAGAAGGTGAGGGTGATGAGACTATGAAGCAACAATCTGAGGAGATTCCTCCTAAGGGGGAATGGGCAGCTGGAGAAGGTAATACCCCTATGATATCCTTATGTGCTTTAAGTGGCTTACAAGGAGCTCAAGCCATTCATGTTACTGGATATAGTGAAAAGAGGCCAATTCAGATTTTACTTGATGGGGGTAGTACTCATAATTTTATTGATGAAAGTGCTGCCAAGAGGTTGGGGTGTCAAATTTATCCTACTAAGGTGAGTTATGTGAGCCTTGGCAATAACACCTTGGAAGCCACCTCTGGAGTTGTTAGGGGTTTTGAATGGATTCTGCAGGGTACAACATTCTCTTCTGATTACTTGTATTCCCTGTTGGTAAATATGACCTGGTCTTGGGAGCTTTATGGATGAAAACACTTGGTCCCATTACTATGAATTACTCAGAGCTTACTATGGCCTTCAATTATAAGGGAAATCTCATTTACTGAGGGGGGTGTCTGAGGATTGCAAGGTTTCCAATCCAAAGTCCTTGAATAGGCTAAAGGGGAATGATATACGGTTCTTTATGCTGCAAGTGCGAGATAGTAACCTATGCACTGTCAAGCCTTGCATATGACCACAACTGATAGTACTGCCATTATTGATCAGCTACTGCATCAATACCATTTGATCTTTGCTGAACCTACATCTCTACCTCCACAAAGGGGAGCTTTTGATCATAGAATACCTCTACAGCCTGGCTCAAAACATGTAAATGTTAGACCATACAGGTACTTTTCTATTAAAAAGGATATCATTGAATAAATGTTTAATGAAATGCTGCAGCAAGGGGCCATCCAATATAGCAACAGTCCTTTCTCTTCCCCTGTAGTTCTTGTTGGCAAGAAGGATGGGTCCTGGAGATTATGTGTAGACTACAGGGAATTGAACCAGTGCACAGTCAAAGATAAATTTCCTATACCCCTTATAGATGATCTGCTAGATGAGTTGGCTGGGGCTACCATTTTTTCTAAAATTGATCTCAGATCTGGATATCATTAAATCAGGATGTTACATGAGGATGTGGCTAAGACTGCTTTAAAGACACATTCTGGACACTATGAGTATTTAGTAATGCCCTTTGGCTTAACTAATGCTCCATCTACATTCCAATGCCTCATGAATCACTTGTTTCAGAAGTTTCTCAGAAGATTTGTTCTAGTGTTCTTTGATGACATCTTGATCTATAGTGTTAATTTGCAAGATCATGTGGGACATTTGAAGCAGGTATTTGACACTGTGGTCATTCACAATCTTTTGGCCAAGAAATCTAAGTGTGCATTTGGAGTCTCAAGGGTGGAATACTTGGGACACTTTATCACTACTGATGGGGTCTCTACTGATCCTAGGAAAATTGAAGCAGTCCAGCAATGGCCAATACCCAAGACTGTTAAACAGTTGAGGGGCTTCTTGGGTCTGGCTGGGTACTACAGGAAATTTATCAAGGGTTATGGTATTATTAGTCGACCACTCACAGTCTTACTCAGGAAGGATAGCTTTTTGTGGAATGCTAAAGCTGCAGAGTCATTTGCAGCATTAAAATTGGCTCTCACTTCTGCTCCTATGTTAGCATTGCCCAACTATGCTATTCCATTTGTGGTTGAGACAGATGCTAGTGGTACAGGCATTGGTGTTGTTCTTATGCAACAAGATCATCCTATAGCCTTCATTAGCAAGGGGTTAGCCCCTGGGCACATGGCTTTATCTGTGTATGAGAAGGAGCTGTTAGCTCTAGTGTTTGCAGTTACTAAATGGTCTCACTATCTTTTAGGCCATCACTTCATTGTCAGAACTGATCAGAAGGCCCCATAAGTACATACTGGAGCAGAAGTTACACACTGATTTGCAGATTAGGTGGTTGGCTAAATTACTACCCTTTGACTTTGAAATTCAGTACAAGAAGGGCAAGGAGAATGTGGCTGCTGATTCCTTGTCTAGAATGTCAGGTGTTGAGTTGATGTCCCTCATGGTGTTTTCTGTTCAGACTGATCTTTGGAATGAAATTCACAATAGTTGGTTTCAAGATCCTGAGTTGAGCCAACTTATTACTTCTTTACAGACTTCACCCCAGAAGCACTTGGATGAATAATCAACTTAGGAGGAAGGGTAAATTGATGATTGGAAATGATCTGGGGCTCAGGACCAAGCTTCTGCAGCTGTAGCATTCCTCTCCATGTGGTGGACACTCTGGTGTTGATGCAACTACTAGGAAATTGATGGCCTATTTTTACTGGAAGGGCATTAGAACTGATGTTCTCAATTTTGTGCGCAACTGTTCTATTTGTCAAAGAAACAAGTATGATACATCTGCTTATGCTGGATTGTTGCAACCTCTTCCTTTGCCTGCAGTTCCTTGGACAGATATTAACATGGATTTTATTGAAGGATTGCCCAAATCAAAAGGGAAAACTGTTATTTGGGTCATAGTTGATAGATTGACTAAGTATGGTCATTTTATTGCCTTGTCTCACCCCTATACTGCTCAGTCTCTTGTGCCTGTTTTTCTGGACCACATCTTCAAACTGCATGGTTTTCCTGCTTCCATCACCAGTGTTCGTGATCCTACTTTCATTAGTTCTTTTTGGAAGGAGTTCCTTTCTGCTCAAGGTGTTCCTCTGCACACTTCTACAGCTTATCACCTGCAAACTGATGGTCAAACTGAGGTTCTCAATAGGTGTTTGGAGACTTACCTCCGTTGTTTCTGTTCTGATTCACCAGCTGATTGGTGGGCCTTCTTGCCCTTAGCTGAATGGCGGTATAACTCCTCACACCACTCTTCCATTCAAACATCACCTTTTGAACTCCTTTATGGTTACCCTCCTCCTCTTCACCTCCCTTATCTTCCTGGTGATTCTCCTTCTACTGATATTGAGAGCATTTTGCTTCTCCGCGATATTAAAATGCAGCTTGCTAAGTATCATTTGGCACGCGCTCAACAGCGTATGCAAGATCAAGCCAATGCTCATCGCACTGACATGCAGTTTTCAGTTGGTGATTGGGTCTTTGTAAAGTTGTAGCCCTATAGACAATCTACCCTTTCTCTCTCTCCCTATCATAAGCTTACCTCTCGCTATTTTGGCCCTTACCCTATTGTTGAATGAGTTGGAGCTGTTGCTTACAAATTACTGCTTCCACCTGAGGTCCAAATTCATCCTACCTTCCACATTTCCCAGCTCAAACCTGTCCTGCCTTCTGAAATTATCCACCCTCCTATCCTTGATCTCTACATCCCTTTATGGCCTTCCCCTAAAGCTATACTTGCTCGAAGATTAGTCAAAAAGAGTAACAAGGCTGTGGCCCAATGCTTGGTTAAGTGGCAAGGTTTGGAAGTTGATGCTGCTACTTGGGAATTTGCTTCTGTTCTTAGGACCAAGTTTCCTTCTTTCACCCTTGAGGACAAGGGTGTTCTTCCACAGGGGGTATTGATACACAAAATTCAGCAAGAGTCCATGAAGAGTAGGACATTTAAAGAATAGCCTATTTGAAAGTTAGTTATGTTAGTTATAGTTCAAATTCAAATATTAGTTAGTGGCGGGAAAGGTAGTTAGTAGGCTTAGATGCTCTAGCTCATTTCTCTTGCATTGCTTTTACATTTTCAACAGCATATTGAGTACTATAAATAGCTAGTTGTAATAATTCATTAGTTACTTTTGAATATCAATGAAAATCAAAATTTCCTCCTACTTCCCTAATTCTCTAATTCTCTATTCTTCTTCTTCTTCTTCTTCCAATTTCTGTCCTTCTTAGCTGATTTCTCTATAATTGTCGACGTGATACCAACAATTTGGTATCAATTGTCTGTCTGATCTATTCTGCTTCTTTGTTGAATTGGAGGAAAGTGAAGTAAACAATACTCCAAGTACACAGTAACAGAGACTATGATTGTATTGATGTAGTGATGCTAGCCTCCGAATTCTCCATGATTGATGCCTTCTCCACCACAACATTCTGCGCCCTGTCCATCCGATCCATTCTTCTTCTTTGTTGAGTTGGAGGGAAGTGAAATAAACACTACTCCAAGCACACAAATCGATTGTATTGATGCAGTGATGCTAGCCTCCTAAATTACGTAGTTCCTAATAGCATTCCTTGATTTTCTTGCTTTACGAGCCTAATAAAAAGGGGCATTTGCATCTATACCCGTTTTTGGGGTCACGTTTTAACTTGTGCCCACTTTGCAAAAAAAATTGCAAACGTACCCACTTTTTCGCGTAACTTCATCATACGGGGCTGAAGTAGCAAAGGCAATCACGCAAAACTTCAGCATTCTAGTAGACTGGGACTGAGTAGCAAGTGTGCTGAAGTTTTTGTTTGTAATTGCTCAACTTAAGCATAATAGCTGAAGTTTTGTTCTCTATTTGCTGAAGTTTTTGTTTGTAACTGCTGAAGTTTTTGTTTTTGTAACTGGCAAAGTTTTTGTTTTGTAAGGCGAACTTCAGTTCTAGAGCGGAAGTTTTTGTTTGTAACTGGCGAACTTCAACTCTAGAGCTGAACTAAAAGGTTTCCAAAATTTGGTATTTTGTCAAATTTCCAAGAAATCTACTTTAAGGATTTCACGTTGGACTGGTTCAGCGACATGATAGTTTGAAACGTTGTTCCTAACTGCTACTTCAGTAAGCATGCTGACTTTAGATAAACAACGGGGACAAGGAGACAGCAGTGTAGACAACGTTGTTCTGTACATTCATTAACTAAAAACGACTTGTAAAACTGTTTAGTCAACAAGCACGCCAAAGTTCGACTGTGGTATGGGACTAGAAGGCAGATATAGATAGCTTGATGTAATTTGGTTTGGGGAAGCCTCGCAGCTGTCATGCAATTGTTGTCATACCTCCAAGTTTTATACATTTCTGGGATAATCCTCAATATATACCAAAATGGTGTTATTTTTTTTTTTTTTTTAACCGTGGTTCCCGGGCATCGCTTTGCGAACCCGACTAGCTGTACTCACCGGGACCCACTGTTTCAATGTGTGCACACCACGGTTAGTTCCACGGGGCCCTGGAGACGCGGCCGTTTTGTAATGCCTCCAGTGGCCCTGCGGGGGCTCGAACTGGCGACCTGAAGGACTTTGTCCTCAGGCCTTTACCAGTTGAGCTACCCCTCAGGGTTTACCAAAATGGTGTAACTGCATAGAATAGATATGTGGTTCAGTCTCATGCTTCTTCTCCTCTTTGAATTCATGTTTTGGGGTCAAACCTTTCCAATGGTGTATACTTGTAACAGTACAACACATCAATGCAATAAGGACCTTTACAATATTGTAGAAGTTTTGAAAAATTCCATTGAAATTATGTTTTGGAACAAGACCTTTCAGTATTATATTAAGACAATACATCAACATATTATGGCATTGCAAGCACTCAAGCAATAACCTAATTTACAGGTACCGCGTGCTTTTTCTCTTGTGTGATGATTAATAATGTAGGAATTGTTAATAATGAAGGGATCCTTATGCAGGGATTACTTACTTTAAGGGCATTTTTTGCCTTTTAATACTATAATGCCCCTATTGCTAATACATACATGGAGTATATTTTATTTCATATTCTATCCCCGCATAATATAATATGTACAGTCCCGTATAACTTAATGCAGTTATACATACTCAAGGTCAGTGTGATGATTACAGTAAGAAAATTCACTGAACAATTTAAAAGTAGATATTCACTCTAATATGGACTCAAATAAAAGTTCTGAGGAACTGTTAAATCTCTCAATTGCTTTTTAGAAGTTAACATGAAAAAGAATAACCAAATTAGATGTTAGAGTGAATGAAAGAGCGAAGATGAATAGCCAATTTAATTCCTCCGTCATATACATTATGCAAACAGCATAGTAACAATTGAAAAGCATAACAAATACTGAATCACATTACCTGTGAAAGAGAAAAACCATGGACAAAGAAAAGCATACCAAGAACAAAAATCTTTACTTTAACACAAAATGTACTTCAGACCACACTTGATATACCTAAACGATAACAGGAAGCCAAACAACTA